AACGGTAGGAAACAGGTTTAAGATGTAATTTTCTGGTTGAAGGCACTGATTTTTTTTGTTTCCCTCATCTGCTGAACTCTCTGGTTATGAACAGGTATTTGTGGCTTGTATGAAAGGAAGTTGAAGGAAATTAATCCATCTCTCCGAAATCTTAGTTATGACATTGCTGATCTTTACAATTTCATTGACGGCCTTGCTGACATGAGCGCTTTGGTGTAAGTCTTTCCCATTTCTCTCTTTTTTCCTATGTTCTTCTTCTCCCATTAGTTTGTGTGTGTCCATGTATCTACCCTTTCCCAACTGCTATGCAATATTAGGGCATTGTCAAATTCACATCACTTGTTCTCATTTACATCAACTAAAAGCAGGAACATTGGTTTCACATTGCCCCATCTATAAAGAACATGAGCCGCGTTTCTTCCTACCTTTCCACTTTAAATCATAGTATTCTGTTCCCACTCATTCCATTCTTTTGAATCACTGTATGTTTTCGTAGTCGATAAAAACATTTAGGAATCTGAAAACCTAAGGATGCAACAGGCTCATGCAGCACATCTGTTCCTTTTTCAGAGAAACTTTCTTGAGAAATTCTGTCTTGATATTCAATAACTGCATATGTTTTGTAGTCAGTTAGTTATTCAATACTACCATGAGGTTTGCTGAAAGAGTTGAAATTGTTCTTGAATCCACGCAAGTGTCATTTGAAAAAATAGCTCTCTCTCTTGCAAGTTATGTGTACAGAGATCATTAGGATTCCCAAGTTTGACAATGTTTGACCCTCTAGTTGCTACACTCCCGTTGCTACTTTTGTGTTTGCTAAACAAGTTAATGATCAACTACGGGTTTAAAGCTCCCCCAGATTGTACTTTTGCTATCTTTTTGGTTTCATGGTTTGCTTAAAAACTGGTTATTGCCCGAATATCATGAGTGTAATTGTCATCAATGTTCCAATGATTCTAACAAAGACTTTGGTGATTTTGTGTGACCCTTTCCTATCGCAGCTACGAACACTCGATGAGTGCGTATCTGCCATATGACAGGCAATGGATTAAGCAGAAGGCATTTAACCATCTCAAGAGACTTGCCAATGGAGGCAGGTAAAGAAGTCATCATTTGAAGAAGAAGAAAAAAAGCATATATAAAGCTTAAGAGACGCCACCCAAAACATTATCACTCCGT